ACCTAAATAGGGGTTATTCAGTCTAGAGTATCGCAAAAGACATTTTCCTGGCCAATATTGAATAGAAAAACAACTTCAAAAAACGGCCATTTTTGGACCAAAACAAAGGGTTAACCCCATTGGAAAAAATGTCAATTTTTTGACCTTTTAAACTTTTTGTTTTTATAGCCTAGAAAGGTGTTTTTTGGTTCTAGAATATCGTAAAACACATTTTCCTGGCCTATAATGCCTAAAAAAGAAAGTTAAAAAATGGCCATTTTTGGACCAAAACGATGGGTTAACCCCTTTAGAAAAATGTCAAATTTTCGACTTTTTAAACTTTTTGTTTTTATAGCCTAGAAAGGTTTTTTTTTGGTTCTACAATATAGTAAAAGACATTTTCCTGGCCTATATTGCCTAAAAAAAAATGTTGGAAAAATGGCCATTTTTGGACCAAAACCATCGGCTAACCGTTTGGAAAAATGTCAATTTTTTGACTTTTTAAACTTTCGTTTTTATAGCCTAGAAAGGTGTTTTTTGGTTCTACAATATCGTAAAACACATTTTCCTGGCCTGTACTGCCTAAAAAAAAAAGTTGGAATAATGGCCATTTTTCGAACAAAACCATGGGTTAACCCCTTTCAAAAAATGTCAATTCTTCGACTTTTTGAACTTTGTGTTTTTATAGTCTAGAAAGGTGTTTTTTGCTTCTAGAATATCGTAAAAGACATTTTCCTGGCTTATAGTGCCTAAAAAAATCCTGGAAAAATGGCCATTTTTAGACCAAAACCATGGGTTAACCCTTTGGAAAAATGTCAATTTTTTGACTTTTTGAACTTTTCGTTTTCATAGCATAGAGAGGTGGTTATTGGTTCTAGAATATCGTAAAACACATTTTCCTGGCTTATATTGCCTAAAAAAAAATCTTGCAAAAATGACCATTTTTGGACCAAAACCATGGGTTAACCCCTTTACAAAAATGTTGATTTTTGGACTTTTTGAATTTTGTCTTTTTATGACCTAGAAAAGTGTTTTTTGGTTCTAGAATATCGTAAAAGACTTTTTCCTGGCCTATATTGCCTTAAAAAAAAGTTGGAAAAATGGCCATTTTTGGACCAAAACCATGGGTTAACCCCTTTACAAAAATGTTAATTTTTGGACTTTTTGAATTTTGTCTTTTTATGGCCTAAAAAGGTGTTTTTTGGTTCTAGAATATCGTAAAAGACTTTTTCCTGGCCTATATTGCCTTAAAAAAAAGTTGGAAAAATGGCCATTTTCGGACCAAAACCATGGGTTAACCCTTTGGAAAAATGTCAATTTTTTCACTTTTTGAACTTTTCGTTTTTATAGACTAGAAAGGTGTTTTTTGGTTCTAGAATATAGTAAAACACATTTTCCTGGCATATACTGCCTAAAAAAAAAAGTTGGAATAGTGGCAATTTTTGGACCAAAACCATGGGTTAACCCCTTTGAAAAAATGTCAATTTTTCGACTTTTTGAACTTTATGTTTTTATAGTCTAGAAAGGTGTTTTTTGGTTCTAGAATATCGTAAAAGACATTTTCCTGGCCGACATTGCCTAAAAAAAAGATGTTGGAAAAATGGCCATTTTTGGACCAAAACCATGGGTTAACCCCCTTGGAAAAATGTCAATTTCTAGACTTTTTGAAAATGACAATTTTTCAACTTTTTAAACTTTCGTTTTTATAGCCTAGAAAGGTGTTTTTGGTTCTAGAATATCGTAACACACATTTTCCTGGCCTGTACTGCCTAAAAAAAAAAGTTGGAATAATGGCCATCTATCGAACAAAACCATGGGTTAACCCCTTTGAAAAAATGTCAATTTTTCAACTTTTTGAACTTTGTGTTTTTATAGCCTAGAAAGGTGTTTATTGGTTCTAGAATTTCGAAAAACACATTTTCCTGGCCTATATTGCCTTAAAAAAAAGTAGGAAAAATGGCCATTTATGGACCAAAACTATGGGTTAACCCCCTTGGAAAAATGTCAATTTTTCGACTTTTTGAAGCTTGTGTTTTTATAGCCTAGAAAGGTGTTTTTTGGTTGTAGAATATCGTAAAAGACATTTTCCTGGCCTATATTGCCTAAAAAAAAGATGTTGGAAAAATGGCTATTTTTCGACCAAAAGCATGGGTTAACCCTTTGGAAAAATGTCAATTTTTTGTTTTTTTGAACTTTTCGTTTTTATAGCCTAGAAAAGTGTTTATTGGTTCTAGAATATCGTAAAACAAATTTTCCTGGCTTATATTGCCTAAAAAAAAAAGTTGCAAAAATGGCCATTTTTGAACCAAAACCATGGTTTAACCCCTTTGGAAAAATGTCAATTTTTCGACTTTTTGAACTTCGTGTTTTTCTAGCTTAGAAAGGTGTTTTTTGGTTCTAGAATATCGTAAAAGACATTTTCCTGGCCTATATTGCCTTAAAAAAAAGGTAGGAAAAATGGCCATTTTTGGACCAAAAGCATGGGTTAACACCTTTGAAAAAATGTTAATTTTTTGACTTTTTGAACTTTTCGTTTTTATAGCCTAGAAAGGTGTTTTTGGTTCTAGAATATCGTAAAACACATTTTCCTGGCCTATATTGCCTAAAAAAAAAAGTTGGAAAAATGGCCATTTTTGGACCAAAAGCATGGGTTAACCCTTTGGAAAAATGTCAATTTTTTGACTTTTTGAACTTTTCGTTTTTATAGCCTAGAAAGGTGTTTTTTGGTTCTAGAATATCGTAAAACACATTTTCCTGGCCTATATTGCCTAAAAAAAAAGTTGGAAAAATGGCCATTTTTGGACCAAAAGCATGAGTTAACCCCTTTGGAAAAATGTCAATTTTTTGACTTTTTGAACTTCTTGTTTTTTATAGCCTAGAAAGGTGTTTTTTGGTTCTAGAATATCGTAAAAGACATTTTCCTGGCCTATATTGCCTAAAAAAAAAAAAAAAAAACATCGCCTATTTTGGAAAAAAAGCCATGGGTTAACCCTTTGGAAAAATCTCAATTTTTTGACTTTTTTAACTTTTCGTTTTTATAGCCTAGAAAGGTGTTTTTTGGTTCTAGAATATCGTAAAACACATTTTCCTGGCCTATACTGCCTAAAAAAAAAAAGTTGGAAAAATGGCCATTTTTGGACCAAAACCATGGGTTAACCCCTTTGGAAAAATGTCAATTTTTCGACTTTTTGAACTTTTTGTTTTTATAGCCTAGAAAGGTGTTTTTTGTTCTAGAATATCGTAAAAGACATTTTCCTGGCCTATATTGCCTACAAAAAAAAGTTGGAAAAACAAAAAATTATGTCCCAAACATAATTACATTTTTGCGTCGGGATACCTGTTGTTATCAAGCACTGGCTGCGTGAACTGGGTACTAGGTAACATGTGATCGAGCATTGCTTTATAGTACGTTGCGCGAATGCGAGGGTCCCTTTCTACCTCTACACCATCGTGTGGCAAGTTATCTGTTCAAATTTTTCAGGCAAGTTCTTTTGTGTTTTTCTTTTTTGTCGGTATGGAACAGCCGAGGGTTCTGATTTTGGGTCACTCCTTTATACGTAGGCTCCGGGATTTTATTATTAGGAATAGTCCCACATATAACCTTAATTTAAACATTAATACCCCGGTTACAATTCATTGGCATGGCGTTGGGGGTCGAACAATCGATAAGGTTAGGCGGTTTGATTTAACCGAAGTAGAACGTTTTAAACCTGATGTTGTACTTTTACAAATCGGTACTAACGACCTCACACGCCGTCGGTCCTCTCCAGCATCTGTTGGCTCTGCCATCGAGGATTTGGTCTGTTTACTTCATAATGAGTACGGGGTTCGTTTAGTTTGTGTTGGTCAAACCGTTAAAAGGCACCCGGTTGGGACGTTCAATGCAAACGTACAAATCCTGGCGCAGTACCTTCAAGGGGTCTTAGAACCGCTCCCCTTTGCCATATATTGGACGCATCGGGGATTTTGGCGGGCTTCCCGTTCATACTTGTCATACGATGGTGTCCACTTAAATACAGAAGGGCAGCATAAACTGTACAGGAGTGTAAGGGGGGCAGTACTGCATTGTTTAAAACGCATAAAAACATAAGGAATTTCTCGCCCAACCAGTTTTAATTTTTGGCAAGTTCATAGCCTTGGCCAAGGAGTTGCGTTCAGTGGGCTTTTGGTGTCTTTTTATGTCCTGTCCATGTGCTTTTGTTGCAATTTAATAGTTGCTTTGGGATTCTGTGCATTCCTGTGTGATGCCCATCCCTGATTTATGTCAATCATTGTCTTTGGAATTTGTTGCGTTATGTGCCTGAGTGACAACCAAATCCGGCCGTCGTTGACGTGCCCAATTCACTCCAGCTATTAACGCTTTTACATGTGTCTTTATAGATACCTATGTGATCGGCCCGTGACTGACGCTCTCCCATCACATATGATGACATACGATTGTTGTAGCTGGTTAATGGGCATCCTGCATTTTTGAATTAGCGTACAATGCATTCTGCCCCCCTTGATTCTCCTTGTTGTCTAATCCCGACTTTGCCTATAACATGTCCGAATTAACTCTAGCTAAGTTTTATAGGCCTTATTAATCAGCATGCCGCCACGAAGGAAATCGCGACGAACAGCAGGACCGTCAGACGATACCGTCAGCGTCCAATTTGTTCCTGACCCGGTCGAAATCCCCCCTCCCAAGCGGCTGTTGAGGCGTCTGCATCTGGTGTGGGATCGGAGGGCCTTTCTGATGCAATGGTTTCGTCTATTGTCGCTGCAGTGAAAACGGCGATACAGTCGACCAACGCGGCCCAGAATTCTTCCCGTTCCATCAATCTGGTCACCGACGCAGTGCAACGCGATGTGCAGTCCTTACCAATACTCCAGTTGGGGCCGTTGAGTCGTCAGGTAGCGAGATATTACCCAGTGCGCCTTTATTTTCTAGTATAGGTGTACCCTTAGGTAGCCGCTTGAGTGCACGCCTAAAGAATAAGATCTGGGCGGAGGAATTCGTCAACTTTGGCTCTCTTCTAGATATGTCCCCTAATCCGGATAAGTTCGCATTATCTATCACCGCTCCCACCGCCGGAATTGGGTCTAAAACCCCTAATTTTACATTCGAACCGGTACACAATGCGAAGAAATTGACGTCTATTCACGAGTGGGTGTCGGCCTTCCACTCTTTTGTTGCAGTCTACTGCGAAAAATTCCCCAGAGAGACGCCAAATTTGATGCAATTTTGCGAAACAGTGCGCGACATCGCCACACGTGGGGGGGACTGGAACTATTACGATGAACAGTTCCGGTATCTTCGTCAAGGCAACCCACAAACGTACCCTTGGGGAGTGGTACATTGGGAGTTATGGCATCGCGCGGTGACTTTTCGTGCCAAATCTGGATATTTTGCAACCGACAAACCCAACTCGAGGTTCAGGGGAAAACAATCAATGGTCAGAGGGGTGTGTTTCACGTTCAACGCCGGTCGTCCCTGTGCGGGCTGCAGATATGACCATAAATGCTCCAAATGTGGTGGTAGACATGCAGCTACGTCCTGTCAATCTGCCTCGAACATTCCCAAACCAGCCGGAGATAGAACTATCGCAACTCCATCGCATAATAAACAGCCCGCCAGTAACGCCGGTAAAAGTATCCACCCTTAGCCCCCTTTTACAACAATACGACCCTCGTCTTAAGCAATTTTTGATTGATGGCTTTTCGTTTGGATTTCGCGTTGGGTTTGTTGGTACTAGCCAATTACGTCTTGCTTCAAATTTGCGCAGTGCGAAGGACCAACCTGAAATTTTAGCTGCTAAACTTGAGAAAGAATGGTGCGCTGGGAGAATTGTAGGTCCATTTTCTCGTCCACCTTTTGATAATTTTATTTCTTCACCTTTAGGCGTAGTTCCAAAGAAAACCCCAGGGGAATTTCGTATTATCCACCATTTGTCATACCCAGATGGCTCGTCGGTGAATGATTTTATTCCGGACCAATTTTCGTCGGTTCAATAGCTTCAATAGGTGATGCTATTACACTCATTAAGTCGTTAGGTAGGGGCTGCTACATGGCCAAGACCGATATAAAATCAGCTTTCCGCATTATTCCGATTCACCCTGACGATTACCATTTACTGGGTATGACATGGAATAATTCGTACATTTTTTTGACCGGTGTCTGCCCATGGGCTGTTCTTCGTCTTGCGCTATATTTGAAGCTTTTAGCACTGCGCTCGAGTGGGCTTGCTAAACATTATCTCTGTGTTTCCGGTGTTTTGCATATTTTGGATGATTTCTTGTTTATTGCTACCTCTCAAGGCAAATGTGCCTCCGATTTAAACAACTTTTTGAGCCTATGTGATAGTTTAGGGGTACCTATAGCACATGAAAAACGGAAGGTCCTTCAACCACTTTACAGTTTGCTGGGATAACACTCGACACGATTAATATGGAAGCACGTCTGCCGGACGATAAGCTTCAAAAATGCAATGCTCAGTTATTGGACATGCACAGATGGAAGCACGTCTGCCGGACGATAAGCTTCAAAAATGCAATGCTCAGTTATTGGACATGCACAGACGCCGTAAAACTACCCTGAAAGAACTTCAATCTTTGATTGGATTATTAAATTTTACTTGTTCAGTTGTTCTACCTGGTCGGGCCTTTCTTCGGCGGCTTGTTGATCTCACAAAGGGTGTCCGTCTCCCTCGCCATCGTATACGGATTACTGAAGCCTGTCGTCGAGATTTATTAGTATGGCTTCAATTTTTAAGAGATTTTAACGGCCGTACATTTTTTTCTGGACGATCCGTGGCAGGTTTCACCGCCTCTCAACCTTTACACCGACGCCGCCGGCTCAAAGGGCTATGGCGCACTTTTTGGGAAACATTGGTTTTACGGAGAATGGCCTGCCAATTGGAAATCATTGAACATTGCATTTTTGGAGCTCTTTCCGATTACTATCTCGCTCCACGTGTGGGCATGTCAAATGAGCAATCAATGTGTCTCTCTGTTTACTGATAATGCGGCTTTGGTTGACATTATCAATAAACAGACTTCAAAACACCCCATGATCATGATCTTAGTCCGTGACCTTGTCCTAACATCACTACGCCATAATATTTTGTTTCGGGCTTATCATATACCCGGTGTTGACAATACCCGGGCGGACTTAATTTCTCGTTTACAGATTGTAGATTTCAGGAAAGCATTCCCAGATGCCGACCCAGAGCCAACTCTTGTTCCCGAGACCCTTCTCCCGCAGAAGTGGTCGATACGTTAAAGGAATTACTACATTCCTCATTGTCGGAGCAGTCTCGCAAACAATACTCACGTGCTTGGGTTGTCTTTACTGAATTCTATACCCGCTATCACGGTGCCGATTTACATTTGCCTGTTTCGACAGCGTGTATCGCATTATTCATTTCCTTTTTATGTGCCAAGGGCCTTGCTCCTGCTACCATAAACTCGTACCTATCAGCAATAGCATATGTACATAAGATCAAAGGCCACTACGACCCGACCAAATCATTTTTAGTTGAAAAGCTTCTTGTGGCCGTTGGCCGCCGTGGTCAAGCCGATGTTCGTATGCCCATTTCACGTCCATTATTGTACGAATTAGTTAGAGCTTTACAGCATACTAGCCCATCTGCCTATCGTAGATCTCTGTTCGGGGCAATGTTCATGACAGCATTTTATGGTTTCTTCAGAATAGGTGAATTATCTTGCAATAGTAAGCAGCAAGTTGACACCGTTGTGCAATTTGATCAAGTCACTTTTTGAAACAATCTTCTCGAGTGACGGCTGTCAAGATTGTGATCACTAAGTTTAAACACAACACGAATAATCGGCCGTTTGTCATAACAATAGAAAGCGAACCTTCAGAACCGTTTTGCCCCGTGCAGACCTTAATCGACTACATTAAACTTAGGGGTTACCATAAAGGCCCCTTGTTCACGTGTGCAGCCGGCGGGGCAATCTCGACAAATAATTTTAACACTGAGCTCCGTCGTGCTTTGAACTTTTGCGGCCTTGATTGTTCTCGCTACAAGAGCCATAGCTTTCGCATTGGTGCAGCGTGCCATGCGTCTGAGAAAGGTTTTTCGGATTCGCAAATACGTGCCCTAGGTAGATGGAGTTCGGACGCTTTTAGAACTTACATTCGTCCGCCTTCACTCAAGGCTAACTAATTGTTTTAAACGTTTCAAAGACACTAGTCAAGCCGCGGTTGGATCTCCGTTGTATAGGTCAGTCAGGAGCTGCTATGCAGTGGTGATTTTCACTACGGCTATTTAAACATCCGTTATGGGACCAGTATTTTTTGTCTTCATCTCTGGTTAGCTTTCACGGGCCACGGTGGATTCTCTGATGCGTGGGTCAGTCAGGGGCTGCCATACTGAAAGGGTTTTTCACTGTGGACTCTTTCCGCTATCACTTACTATGTACTTTACCAATCTGTTCTCATGTACTACTTTATCAATAGGTTATCTGTCCTACGAAGGAGCTACGGTCCTGGCACGAATTGCTATGTTATTTAACCTCTGTTTTCAATGTCAGTTCGCGTGCGGTTCATGACTAGGTCAGCCAGGGGCTGCTGGAAATGACCGTACTTTACAAGATTTTCTTATATCCTCGCTGTTTTCAGTTAAAATATTCCTCGGGGTTCTTAGTTCCGGATCTTGGTGGGGTGGTCACACGCTGTGTGCCTTGTGGCGGTTATTTCTTCCCCACCTTTTCCGAAGAGACATTCAATTACTTAATTTTTTCCATGTCACGTCACGATCTGATTAGTTTGTTAAGCGTGGCGTGACTTTTTATTGTTATATTAATAAATACGTCACAATAGTGGCCAATTTTATCCAGCCATATGAGTACATTGTCTCTTCGTAAAACTAGTGCGACCCGGAGCTAATTACCCCTCGACTACCTAAGTTCGCGAGATTAGTAAATCCGCAATATATTACTTTCGGAAAGGTATCGTGATGTAAAAACAAAAAATTATGTCCCAAACATAATTACATTTTTGCGTCGGGATACCTGTTGTTATCAAGCACTGGCTGCGTGAACTGGGTACTAGGTAACATGTGATCGAGCATTGCATTATAGTACGTTGCGCGAATACGAGGGCCCCTTTCTACCTCTACACCATCGTGTGGCAAGTTATCTGTTCAAATTTTCCCACCTACCTCCCCCTCTTCGCCAGCCAGTGTTTAGTTCTCTCTCGGAAGGCGGTTATTTCTTCCCCACCTTTTCCGAAGAGACATTCAATTACTTAATTTTTTCCATGTCACGTCACGATCTGATTAGTTTGTTAAGCGTGGCGTGACTTTTTATTGTTATATTAATAAATACGTCACAATAGTGGCCAATTTTATCCAGCCATATGAGTACATTGTCTCTTCGTAAAACTAGTGCGACCCGGAGCTAATTACCCCTCGACTACCTAAGTTCGCGAGATTAGTAAATCCGCAATATATTACTTTCGGAAAGGTATCGTGATGTAAAAATGGCCATTTTTGGACCAAAAGCGTGGGTTAACCTTTTTGAAAAATGTTAATTTTTCAACTTTTTGAACTTTTAGTTTTTATAGTCTAGAGAGGTGTTTTTTGGTTCTAGAATATCGTAAAAGACTTTTTCCTGGCCTTTATTGCCTAAAAAAAAAATGTTGGAAAAATTGCCATTTTTGGACCAAAACCATGGGTTAACCCGTTTGGAAAAATGTTAATTTTTTCACGTTTTGAAGTTTGTGTTTTTATAGCCTAGAAATGTGTTTTGTGGTTCTAGAATATCGTAAACACATTTTCCTGGCCTATAATGCCTAAAAAAAAAAAGTTGGAAAAACGGGCATTTTTGGACCAAAAGCATGGGTTAACCCCTTTGGAAAAGTGTCAATTTTTTGACTTTTTGAACCTTTTTTTTATAGCCTAGAAAGGTGTTTTTTGGTTCTAGAATATCGTAAAACATATTTTCGTGGCTTACAATGCCTAAAAAAGGAAGTTGAAAAAATGGCCATTTTTGTACCTGAAGCATGGGTTAACCCCTTTGGAAAAATGTCACTTTTTCGACTTTTTGAACTTTTCGTTTTTATAGCCCAGAAAGGTGTTTTTTGGTTCTAGAATATCGTAAAAGACATTTTCCTGGCCTATATTGCCTAAAAAAAAAAGTTGGAAAAATGGCCATTTTTGGACCAAAAGCATGGGTTAAACCCTATGGAAAAATCTCAATTTTTTGACTTTTTGAACTTTTTGTTTTTATAGCCTAGAAAGGTGTTTTTTGGTTCTAGAATATCGTAAAAGACATTTTCCTCCCCAATATTGCCTAAAAAAAGAAAGTTGGAAAAATGACCATTTTTGGACCAAAACAATGGGTTAACCCCATTGGAAAAAATGTCAATTTTTCGACTTTTTCAACTTCTTGTTTTTATAGCCTCAAAGAACGTTTTTTGGTTCTAAAATATCGTAAAAGACATTTTCCCGGCCTATATTGCCTTAAAAAAAAAAAGTTTGAAAAATGGCCACTTTTAGACAAACAGCAATGGGTTAACCCTTTGGAAAAATGTCAATTTTTTGACTTTTTGAACTTTTTGTTTTTATAGCCTAGAAAGGTGTTTTTTGGTTCTAGAATATCGTAAAACACATTTTCCTGGCCTATATTGCCTAAAAAAAGG